ATTAAAGGCCCATCAGAAGTTCAACATGTTCAATTAAGAAGTTTGACCGTAGATGAAAAATAAGCAACTTGCGTGTCTCTTACGCAACGAGAATTAAAAATATGGGCTAATTCTCTCCCATGATAGATGAGCATTACTGATATGCACACATCTTCAGCTGCTATCATCAGTAGCTGCAGTGTCAGTTCTCTGTTCAAAGACCTTGTACTCAACGTGGGAGTGACAGAGGCACAGACTGTGCCTTTGTGTCTTGAAGAAATACAGTAAACTACTGATAAAATAATGGTTGTCAGTGATGCTTTAGAGGCAGATGTTTTTAAAACCGCAAAGTGCATCCAAAATATTATAATGCTCCAGGGGTTTCAACTGTTTTGTGATGATTATGAAACATTTACTCTTTCCGTGGTTTGGACAGGGCACACATAAATCATGATTTTATTTTTTTAGGGAAATCGTGACTTTTTTTGAACCGATATTTTAAATCCCATACATCTATCTGCCACTAGATGGTAGAATGCCCTCTGTAAATGGAAAGAAGATGAGCATATCAGGGCAGAATTCAACTCCCCATTCAAAGTGAGAAGGGAGGACCATTCTGCCTTGACACTGAATTAAAAGATTGTTTGGGAATGTAACCAAGGCCTCAGTCTGACACTGAAATATTTACAGTTCCCTAGCATGAGAAAAAATGTCCACTGTGTGTTTTCCCAAAAATATTTTGCATCTTATAGCTCATTTTGAAAGAAAATTGAGAGCCACAGTGTGGTGGACATTTTATACACTTGTATTGTCTGCATGAGTACTCTTTCATGTACCTGGTAAGAGTTTATGACAAAATATCTTGATGAAAGTTCAAATAACTAGATTATTTAGTAAAATAACCAATAGTCAAAAATGAGGACACAGGTGCACATCTTTATCTTTACCCATCCCTTTCAATTGTCTCCCCCTCTCTTGCTAAGATACACAGTGAGGATACAAGACTGAGCTCAGGCCGGGGCATGCACAACAGAAAACACACATTCCTTGTAATGCTGCATACCACCAGCTCAGAGCTGCATCCGACCAACACACAACAATGTGTGACGATCTCAATATGCACTGCAGTACTTTGCCACAACCTGCTATTACTTCTAGTGAGAAGTCAGTGCACAAACCATTGCAAAGTACTGTTCTCTCAGAGAAACCTTTAACTCACACATGTTTGCATGTACCCTCGAGGGTTCATTCATATCTTTATCCATTGCAAACAATCTTGTTTCCTGAAAAGGCTCTATAATTGCTATTCATACTAAAAAGCACGCCATTGACAGTGGCAATATTTAAACATGACAGCCTTTTCAGTAAGGAAGAACAACGCTGTAGAGACTGTTTTGTTCTGGCTGGATTGAGTTTGAGACATTGTCTCAAAGGCTACTGTGACCTGCTCTTCACCTGCTCCTGTTTCCATTTGGTTTGACTTGTTCATTCGAATGTTGTTTGAAGGGTTGCTACAGGGACCACTGGCTTGGCTGAGGCTTGCCATGTTAGCCCTGGAGGAAGAAAGCCCACTGACTGTGTATATATGGCTTTTCAGAACCACAGTTGCTAGGAGATGATCCAGCAAGCTGGAAATGGTAAACACACACACACACATGCAGCCCTTATGTGCACACACGGCATAATTTCAGATGCTGATGAGCGTTTGGAAAATATCTGTTACTGCTGGTATGTAGAACTCTTAAGTATAATATAGTGAATGTTCAGGGTCAAACTTCTATTAAAATGTATTCGTTTCTTCTTGTCAGATGAAAACGTTGAAATGTTAAATTTCTTGCAGAAGACGAGATGAGTCTTACTTGAAACAGGAAAGTCTGAATTCCTGAGTCAAAAAATTGACAGTAAGACTTTAAACTCACAGCTCACATCCCCCAGAGCCAAATGTCAATGAACTTAGGTAAAACACATGAATACAGAACACATTAGAAAGCCAATATGTACTTACTTACTTATGGACATGTTTGGTTATACAAAGTTATATATATAATGCTCATTTATCAGATAACTATGTTTCAAATGGAATGTGAGGGCAGATAACGCCAGGGGAAATGCTTGAGGACCAGACTTTTTCCAGAGAAATCTCTCTGAATGTAAAAAATAAAAAAAATTAAAAAAAATGTACAACTCAGATATGATGGGCTGAAACGGAGAAAAATAAATAATTATTTTCATATTCATATTCATATTTTCCAACTAACAATTTAGGGCAAAGGCAATGCTCTGTGGAAGAAAAATATCCACAAAGTGTTGAGGGTTCAATATTTCATGTTTTAAGGAATTAAAAATGTAAATGGGATGACACTTTAGGCAACAGAAAACTGCCATGCCTTCACCATCACCATCTGTTCAGGCCTCTTGCTGCAGTCTGGTTCATATATTTATCAATAATTACATTGCTCTTTGCATTTTGTTACATAATTCTCCTCATGGTCACGAAATAATTTATACTCTTTCAAAATATGTCAAAATGTATTTCAAGTATTTCATAATAATAACCTGATGTGTTATCAAAATGTGGATTTAAAAGCATCAACTTATATATGCATAAATAAAATATATGAAACACATTCAAACATTCAGTCAGAATCAAAGAATATCTTCTCCCACATGATCTGGCTTCTATTAGGTCAGTCTGACTGGAGGATATTTTTTCAATGTAGGTTCTCAGCCACCAAGGAAACCTGACTTTCATTCAGGATATCTTTGTGCCGATTTCAATGAAAACAGCATCTCTTTGTTTTGTGAATCAAGCAGGCGCGTACGTATTGTAAATGTCCATTTTGTTAAACAAAAGAGCTAAGTTGCACAGTGTTGCTCTCTGGAGAGGGGACCTGATTTTAAATATGACTGGCAAGTAAAAACTAAATGCATTACACTTTGAGACTTTCTATCCATTATACTTCTGTCCTGAGTATCACTTTAACAGATATTTTCTGCATATAAAGTTAAAAAATATAAGAAAAGAAGAAAAGAAGAAATTTCCCAAAATGCAAATGTATGCAAGATATAGGAACTGTGTTGATGACCTACTTTTATTTAGGGCAATTTTAGAGTTAGAATAATAGATAATCCAGACCTACTGTATGTAATATGAAGGAATACTGGGCCACATCATACACATGACACATCTGTGAAGTGAGACTAGTCCCACATCAGAATCAGAATCAGAATCGGAACCGTTTATTGCCAATGTATGTTTAACATACATGAATTTGTCATGGCGGGTGGTGCATAACATTAGACAATAACATTAAACAATAGCATTAAACAATCAACAACAATCAACAGTGCAAGAAATAGAAACATTAAAATTTACAATAGAATTTAAAATAATATAAAATAAAGTGGACAACAAACAGATAACATGACTGTAAACAAGTGTAATGTAAGTGTAATCTGAAAGTGACAAGTGTATTAAAATATGAAGGGATGTGCAGGGGAGTATAGTAGGGAGGGTAGAATTGTCCTGGGGATGACAGAGTCAGTCAGTGGGGGACCCGGGCTCTGTTAATGAGCCCGACTGCCGACGGGGAGAAACTGTTCGTGTGGCGTGAGGTCTTGGTCCTGATGGACTTAATCCTCCTACCAGATGGAAGGGGCACGAACAGTTTGTGTCCAGGGTGAGAGGGGTCGGCTGCAATCTTTCTTGCTCGCTTCAGGGTCATAACCTGGATTTACTCTAGTGAGGCGTTCAGAAGATTTGTAATAAGGTACACTTGTAATATGGTACATGGTTAATATTGTATAGGCCTAATTTTAGAGGGTAAATTCCCTTTCTCACAGCGGAATCTTTTACAGTAGAGGTTAACAATGGCTCTGTTCTATTCAAGTGTCCCAGTAAGCCATGACAGTGTGACAGTGAGCCAGCATAGATTACATTTACATTACATTTATAGCTGACGCTTTTATTCAAAGCGACTTACAACAAGTGCATTCAACCGTACACAATACCAGGACCCTGGTAGGGTTCTTGGTAAGGCTGAAACCAAGACTGAATCTGCTAATAAAAGTTCAGCCATCACTGATTTAATTATTTTCAACTGTGCTTTCCCTACTATGAGTGTAACATGTCAAAACATCTTACCAAAACCCATTGACCCGGGGCTTTGGGCCCCTGGGGGTTGGTGGCACTGAGGCAGTTGGCTGCTCTGCCCAGTTGGTAATCCAGCCCTGGTTGAGTCTTTTTCCCATACATTGTAGGCCTTTAAGTAGGGTGACATCATTTGGCAACTGTTATTTCAGCAAAGTATCCTAAAAGGCTACTCTATAAATTTGGTTTTGCACTTCCATTAAGTTGGGGGACTCAAAAAAGACAAAAAGAAGCAGCAACGGCCGATACATATATTAGTTACGCGCTACAAACAATGGATCTTACATTTTCCATAAGGCAACTCAACAGCATCTTATCCGTGTAAATTCCTTTTGAACACCACAACTCCAGTTTATCACAGATTTTCTGTGTCAAGCCTAAACCAAGATAACTGTGACGACATCAGGACTCTCTTCAGAGCCAGAAAAGACATTATGCAACTTTTAGTGTTGCATATAGAGCAGTAAGTAGAAACTGAACGGCATATGTAAAATCGGCAGTGTCCCTATAATGCAAATATATAATGATAGCAATCGCTCAGTGAAAACGGGCATAGACTTGGGGCAAAGTTTTAAAGGGCACTCTCCATTTCTGCTGTACCTTTTACATCCCTGATTGTAATACATGCGCAGTGAAGCCAGTTGTTTTTGTAGTTTAGGTGTAGACTGTTGCTCATGCAGAGGTGAGCTCAAATACACAGTGAGCTCTTTCCCACGCCTTTCTCCTGCAACTCCTCGTGTCTCTGTGGAGAAAGAGGGGGCGGGTGGAGCGGGGTGGTGGGTTACAGTTCTGGAATGTGCGCGCGTCCCCGACATCTCTCTGTTCTCGTCGGCCGCGGCGCGCGCGGGACAGACAGACTCGTGTGCGCGCGCAGCCCCGCGACAGGTCTGGAAGTGCAAGGAGGGACTCAGGAAAACGCTGCTGGAGCGGGGGAATGATGGCGGTGAGCAAGAAGAAAAGGACAAGTTTGATACTGTAAAACTGGAACATTGTGGGCCATCTTCCGGCGCCTAACACGATGAAGCAAGTAAGAGGTGAGAGCTTTATAAAGTTGTTTACCTTTTTGGCGTTGTGCGTAGAGCCGGAGTTAACATTTTCAACGGCTCGTACTTGAAACGCCACAATGAATTGTTCCGACTGAGGCACTAGTTTGGGGCTGTGTTGGCCCAGCAAGTTCAACTTTGTTTCACCTTTTTAACTGTGCTATAACGTAAGCGTTACTAGCAATGGTTGACTGGTTGAGTTGAGTACAGTTAGCTTAAAGTTTGTAGCTGGTTAAAGTTAACTTTAAATTCAGAACCATTTGATTTAACGCAAGCTAACGCATATTAACGTTAGTCAGACAACCACCAACTAACCTTAAACGTCATATTCTAGCTTCACCTTCATGCTGTTTTGATTTGCATACAGAAAGACATTTTGACTCGTATTAAATACGGACATAGTGAGATAATGGTATCTCTGTATTAACATATTGTATTTATTATTTTTATTAACGGTAGCTATTTTTCTCTTTAGATGCCTTCTCTGTGAGTGTGTAGCTCCGACAACAACTCCCCACCGGACCCCATGGCACCGCTTTGGTAAAGTTGAGGGATAATAGTTCATGAACACAAAGCATCAGTCTCTCCAAACCCGGCTTCTCTTTAATAGGGCTGCAGTCACAAAAAGCAAAAAAAATGCTCAAAGCGGAAAGCAAAGGAGGCGAGAGGACCCTGAGGAGCGCATCTCCTCACAGGAATGCATACAAGTCTGACTTCCACGCCATTAAGTGTACTTTTGATGGGTCAAAATCCGAGGGCGACGCCAAATCATATGCAAATGGGTCCAGTGACACCCGGGAGGACTCGAGGGGAAGGCCCTTTGGGACCAGAGTGAACAAGATAAAGAACATTTTCCTGCAGATGGATGGTCAACAACAGGAGTGCCAAGAGGGTAAAGTGACCCCGAAGCCCGACGTGTCACCTGTATCCCCAACGAAGCAGCAGTTTCCAGTCAACACTCCCAGAGTTCCCCTCAACAGTGCCACAAGCCCAGAACCACAAAATGTAGATAAAACACCCAAGGGGGAAGATGTTGAGATTGACAAAGTGGCTTTGGCAGAGAAGTTTTCTGTGACCAGAAAACTCTTTGAACGGCGCGTCAAAGAGCAGCCTGCAGCTGAAAAACAGTCTCCAAACAGAGTAGTGAATCGTTTGTCCCTCGGAAGTTCCTCCGATGAGGGGAAAAGCACAAGGAGTGTATCGGGATCCTCTGAGACCGCTATCAAAGCAGAGCAAACTCCTACTTCCACAGTTAAATGTCAACCGGATGAGAAGCCTGATAGTGAGAAAAGGCACGGGTCTAGAGTGTCATTGAATGCGGGACCCATGTCCAAAAGGTTGGAGAGTTATGTGACAGAGAATGACGCGGTAGACAACAGCACAGCTTCTGCAAAGGGAGGAATGGCGTCTGCTAAACAACACGGTGCCACCGAACAAATGTCTTCTTCTCCAACAAAAGACAGCGTACACAAATCCACTTCACCTGTTAAAGAAGCCACTAACCTTACCCCTGTGACTGATGCCACTAACAAGAATACATCCCAGACAGCTTGTGCCGTGAACAGACCAACGTCTAGTGTTAAACCAACCAGCCCAGTTACCAATGCAGCATGCAAATCTAATTCTCCAACAACTGATGTCGCTCACAAACCCCTCTCACCAGAAAAATCCAGCCCAGTTAACCATGGCTACAAACGCTCCTCATCATCCGGTGATGGATTTAGTCGGACATCTGTTGGTGAGGATGAAGGCAAGCCACATAGTCCACCCCCAAGGGATGTGAAGCAGCCTCTAGCATCAGATGGTGGCTTTCAGAACACCAACAGGGCTAAATACCCAGAAAAAGCCAGGAGTCCTCCAACGGACAAGCCATCCAGCCAGACCTCATCGCTGGACTCCAGGGGGGTGGGCGTGGTACGGGCAGAACTGGTCGTGGTTCAGAATGAGTCCTCAGAGAGTGAGGAGGATGAGGATGAGAACGTTGAAGATAATGTGTTTGAGGAACAGAAGGTGCAAAGCCCCAAAGATGACCTAATAACGAACCTGAAGAGAACCTCTCCAACAGAAAAAGCGAGCTGTAACCCCGCTCATCACGTCCCAAAAGAGATACAAAGGGTAGCAGAGACCGTGGGTGAAGGTAGAGTTTTAGAGGACAATGAGGGATTTGGGTTTAAAAGGGAGAGACGGGAGGACGTTTCAGTTGTCGATCAAGATGGTGACGATTATCGTGAGGAAGATGATGAGGTTGCAGAGGAGGAGAGTGAGCTGGAGGAGCAGGTGGGCCAGATCCTCCTGGATAGAGCTTCACCAGTAGTGTACGGTATTGAGAATGCAGCGTTTGTGGATGACAGAGATGTAGACCAGGTCCTCAGAGAAGAGGAGGAGGAAGAGGAAGAGGAGGGAGATCAAATGTATAGGGATTATGAAGAATGTTACGAGACGACTGGTCTGTCGGATGAGGAGCCTCTCCCAAAGAGAACAATCAAGTTCTCCACGGGACCCATTCAGGTTAGTATCATGCGTTATGTTGTTTACATCTGAGCTATTGAAAACATGTTGCACTGCACCGTCATTATAAACCACCGTCGGTACTGATTCAGCAACTGTCTGACCGAGATGTTTTCCTGCAGACGCAAGACAAATTAGTCAAGGCTGAGAATGAATGCTTTTTTTGGGCAGGTTGACGTCACAGCTGCCGCACTGTATTATCAAAAATGTAGGCTATGGTTTGTTTAATCTTACTGACGAGGGAGGCAGGCAGTTTGAGACATTTGGGGACTTTAGCTGGCAACATTGTTTGTGGTATTTCTGAAAATATTGTTGACGTTTTGCGTAAGAGCTTGTGGAAGCAGGAGCAGTGAGGTAGAGACATGTGAAACTTGAGTCTGCACAGTAAAAGAAATCATGGCTACCTCTGAGTCACTACACTGCCCGGGTATTCATACTCATCTAGAGTAGTTCCCCTCTGTTGGTGAATCATGAGGGACTTTTCCCTTCTCTCCAACATGGATATAAGGACTTCAGGGATTGTGTTCACCCATACCATCTCTTTTACAGACATGGCTAAGTTATCTTATTACAGCTGGGGAGTCTTTACGATCCATTAACAAGGATATACATCTTTTTAGAAAAGCAAAATCTTTTTATTTTCTCTAAATGTCCTCATGTTTGAGTTTAGTAAGAGATGTAATATCTCTTCATTGATGAAGTCCTATAATTGGGTTTGTAGAGTATTACAATATTTTTTGACTTTGACCATTTTCAAATAGGACCGTTGGTGCTTTCATACTCTATCTAATCTCAGCTGGAGATGTTGTCCTTATACAAATAAGGTTGTAGAAACAGACAGCATCATACTTCAATTTTGCAGTAACAAGACTTCCTGTAGTATCATATCATGATAGCCATAGTATGTATTTGTGTATTCTCGTTTGGTATATCGCTACACATCGTATGTTGTAAACATTGCAAACATGTTTTTAAGGGAAGTGGAGGTAACATCTTCTCCCATATATATTCTACAATCACCAAATCTAAAAATAACATTTAGCTAAAGCAGGGAAAATCAAATTGCACACATAGCTTGTGGACAGCTCAGTGTTTATCCAGGCCTTAAAATGCACTGTTATCTCAGGGATCCTGGCTGGGGGTCCTGGGAGAGGGGACCAGAAGCTGACCCTAGAGTGGACACAAACAACAGTGTGTGCAGTGTGTGCCTCCTCTGCCCAAAGAGAAGCTATGGCATAGATAAAAACAGCTTTATAGTTCACAACAATATGGTAGACCGTGTCTGTTTGGCACAACCATGAGAGGGAGACTACAGATATAGCTGATGCAAGGTTTAGTTGTTATGCGAGTACATTAAGTTGTCAAATTCACTTCAATAATCATTGAATTATATGGACTAATAGTGTGTAGTAAGTAATCAGTAAATACTTAATATTAGTTAGTATGTTCAAAGAATTCAGACTAGCTTTTTTCCCCTCAGTCCCTATTCTCTTCTAATTGACAGGCTGGAAAGAACTCCGAGAGATTTATCAAAACAATGGCATGCGCTTGGATTAAAACCATGGGGTCAAGGCTACGTGGTATGCACGTTAGCCAATTAAGTCACACAAGTCACACACTGCATCATTCTCCACCGTCTGCTAGTCCGAGCCGGCTCTGGGATTGAGCACACTTGAGTTGTAGCTAACAAGGAGAGAGGAAGTGCTTTGTGCTTCTTTAGGTCCCGAGGTAACACGAATCTTCTGGATAGAGGAGGTGTCTTGTGTGGAAGAAAGGTCCCCTTTTTGAAGTAAAGGAGATGTTCAGTTTCAGCATGTATCGCCCTTAAAAACAAACTTGGTTGAAGAGGGCTTTCTAAAGCAGTCAGGATTAGTGCACACATTCTCAGTAAGTCCTAAAAAGTGAAACTTTTCTGTCAAGCCAAATAAAAGATGTTAATGGTTGCTAAATTAGTTGCTTTGTGATTTAAAACAAATACTCAAAATGTGTAATATTAGAAAGAAAATTGCTAAAATACTCCATGGCACAGCTATAATTCTATACATTATGTTTTGTGAGAAGATTCTTCTGCATATACGGTAACACAAACTCATAACTTATGAGTTACTTATAAGTTACTTTCTTCACCCAGCCAGAGGACACTGAGTGCTGCAGTGTGCTCTGGTCAGCTCATCTTGTGTGTTAGTGTTGGAGTTCTGTGCTCCACTGCACCTAATATTAGCCAGTCTCTGGGTGGTAGGGAAAAAAATACTTAACTTTCATAATAGAAAGCTAACTATTATGTTATTAAACGCTTGCCTTTTTGTGAAAGATAAATCTAGCACGTTATCGTCAATGCTGTACTGTGCTCATGCGGTTGAGATCATCTTTTTTCCGTTCCGTCAACATATCTTTATCAACAACGTACAAAAATCTATTTTGTGAAAAGCAAATGGGGCATCCTCCACATTTGGACTGTAACCAACCCATCCCATAGTGTTATGCTTTCCATTTCCTCTCTGAGATAGGTCTTCTGCTGGGCAGAGAGAGGAATGTGTCTGACAAAGACTCCACCCTCATCCAACCAGCAGACAGGCCCTCCCCTTGTGGGATCTGACTTTTCCCTCCCGCCACCTGGGCAAGTGGGCGACTATCCGACAAAACTGGGCGGAATACTAATGCGGTCGGCTCAATGCTGTTCATTAAACAACTTGGCACGTGACGACACGAGTCTGGCGCTTGATTGTGATTGGCCTTAAACGCTTTCATTATGTGATTACAGACAAACACATTAGAAGACGCTGTGTGTGTGTTTTTTAACTGAACATTAGCAGTAATTGTGTGTTAAAAGTTTTCAGCAGCCCTTGCAGGGCAACAGTAGCTTCCGTGTTCCATTGATAACAAACCTGTTTAACCTGTTTCTTTTGTTCGCACTCCTTTGGAAATGTTGATTCCACTCTGCTCCTCTCAAACTCCACCTCTTCCTGCTGTAGGTCACACAGTAACGCTTCAAGCGTAAACATTGTTATTTCAGTTACAGTCAAAGTGTTGATAATTCCAAGTACATGCAGACAGGAAGTACTGTTTTTTTAAACTCTTTTTCCTGGTTTGTTTACACAGAATCTAAAAACTGGGTCACATGTCGTCTTCCGTAATCACTCTATGATCTGCCCCGGCTCGCTCTCACAGCATGTTTGGATTTGTTGTCGTTTTGTCGGCCCGCTTACATGACAAGCTCCCCCAAATCCAGTGGTCAAGCCCTCGTTTTTGCTCCGGCAAAGAGATTTCTCTGGTTTGCTTTTCCTCGCAGCTGCTGACTCATTTCCCCACATCGGTGTTCTGCTGTGGGGAGAGGAATGAGGGGAAATATGGGAAGGATTTTTTGGTTTGGGTGTGGGCATGTGATGCATGTAGAGAGGACAGACCACTGCAGTTGTTGGAAGATGGATGAAAGGGCCACACACACTGCTGGGAGTGAATGGAAATATGAAGATGGCATAGCAGTCAGTTGACCCACATCACAACCTCAGTAATACTTTAGGGGAGAAATTGACCCTTTGCTAAATCCCACCTTTTGAACGCAGACTAACCAATCATAGCGTACCATTGGCCAGCTCCCACCAGGACCCGCACTTATACTATACTATACTATACTGCTTTCATGCAATTGTTTTAGATTTACTCCATTTTCAGGCTGGTTTTATGGATTTCGAGCTAGTCCTGCTTTTGCTTTTTAAAGATTGTAACAGACAACAAACAGGAACAGTGTTTGTTAATTTCATTGTCTTCTGTCTAGAGCCAGGTCTCTGTAAAGATGTGGGCTCAACAGTCACCAACCTCCTGCTGCTTTCATCCATATTATTTTTCTGAGATGCTTGTTTGTGACGGAGAGGCCAATAAAGACATTTTAGTTGGAAACAGTTGTTGAGCGATTAGGTTTCAGAAAAGGACAGAACATTGTTCGATAAAGGCCTGTGGGTCCCTGGCAACAGGAAAGTCAGACTTAGGAGTTTTGGGGAAGTAGAGGAGAGGCTAATCCGACTGCTACTGCTCAAGGATGCAGTGTTGCTCCCTATATTCTATTAGCCTACATTTTAAACCCTTAATTACTTAAGTCTCCAAAGTCTAACCTAAAAAAGGCGTCTTTCATCCTTAGTGAAATTTCTGTCTGCTGTAGTTCTGTGAATCCATTTTTAACTTGCAAGTTGATGAGCTTTGTTGTATTTATAGAGGCACTTTCAAGCTTGTTCAGAGACATGCAAAATAAGCTTCGACATGCAAGCAGGGCAAAAATGTATTGAGTAGCTTGTTGGTTATTTGAAAACAGTTTTCAGTGCTCTTTGGTGTGCAATGGTTTTGCCTTCATGTGATGAAGAGGACACCTATCTTCCACAATATATGGGTCATAAACTAAAAGCTGTTTTGTAAACCTATGTGTGTGAAAGGAAGGAGGAGGATTCAGACGGAGGGCTCCCTCGGGTTGATGGAGGGTCGAGGCCTCATGAATAGCATTCCTGCCTGCACCACAGAGCTGCACCAGTGTGCATAATCCTCAAGTTTCTCATCTTTTTTTCGTTTGGTCTGAGAGCCTACATGGGAGTGGTGTACCAAATCAGAACATATGTTTGGTTTCTAACATAACACTGTGATTCATGGATGGGTTAACATCACAGTGGAAAATCTAGTTTTATTTATGATTGTTATCCGCCAAAATTCAGTTAAATATGCAAACCGGACGGGACATCGTCATTTGTGCTCTTCTAGTCGCAGATCTCTGATAATGTTACTTTGTAAACAACCAAAACGTGTTTAATTCAGCAGGAGGACATCGAAGGTTCCATTCAGTTACATTATGATGCGTTCAGGCTCTGTTCAGTTAAAATGAGTGTTGTTATAACGTCATCATGATGTGTTCACATGTTGTTTTGTAAAATGTAGAAAACATAAATAGATATTAGAGATGAATTATGATCCGTTTGAAATACTTCTGAGCAGCTTATAATACATCATTAAAACTACTGATGACAAGATTTGTTTTAATCCATAAAAATACAATCTTTTATTTTTTAGGAAAAAGAAAACCGGTGACTATAGAAAAGTAAAAGGATAACATTTAGAATTTTGTGATGGTTTACAGACGGCTGAAATGTTTTTTCGGACGGTGGAAAATTTAAGGATTGGAGCTTTGTAGACCAGCTGCTATAATCAACAATGTGGATCAGTAATGATCGGCAATTAGTGTTGTCAAACAAAACCAAACCGTGATCAGGGATCTCTAAAAGTTGAATTTGCTCCTTTTTTTTTTTCTTTTGTGCTGATCCGATCTGTGATCCGAACCGTGAGTTTTACGATTTGTTGCACCACTATGTTTATTTGATTCCTCGGGTCTTGACATGCTGGAGGATCCACACCTCAGACGTGGTTGCCTCGTGTGGAAATGTTTACTTGATTACATCATACATCCTCATGGCAAATGTTGCAATCGATCCTTTAATCCCATAATAAATAGTCACCCATTGTTGTTGGATTGTTTTTAGTGTGTTCATCACAACCTAGGTTGTGCTCTCTATGATATCACGGGAGTCGTATGAGACCACAACTCAAACATGTGGCTCTGTGCTGAGTTTATTAGGCTCTAAATAACACGCTTGGTGAATCATTTGATTGTGCAAATTCTCCACCTACAAGATGGAATCAAAGACCAGGATAAAATCCAAAAATAAATCCCAAATTCAAATCCAAGGTTTCAAGAAATCCAAATGTTTATGCCCTATATTCAGTGCCCCTGTGATGCTTTAACAATCTTTTATATATCTCTCTTTTAGGCCATTCATAAGTTTCAGTAGAATGGAATGAAGCTCTGCAAGAGTTCAATAGGACGACTGCTTTATTTTTTTATTTGTTCATATTCTACCTTTGGCTCATATCCTTTTCCTATGTCTTCTCACTTTCCTCTGTTTTATTTCCAAAAAGCAACTCTTCTGTTTTGCTCCATCTAATTAGTAAGCCTGCTATATAGAAAACAATAACTACCCTCTCATATGCACAGAGGAGCCAGATTATGCTTGATCATCACCACCACTACCTTCATCACCACCACCACCACCACCATTTTCATCATGACTCCACCCAGATTAAGAATAATGATGACCAAGTCGGGGTTATGTTACAGACCCACTGTTGTGTTCATCTCTATAATCAGTCATTAGCCCCTAATGGAGTCTGCAAAACTCTAATCTACTTCTTATCAACAAGCCTTTTTGTCTTTATGTCTCATAATTGAGCTCACTCTCTGCTTCTTCTCTCCTTGTTCTGTTAAGACTGATAGTATTTTAGTATTAGTTAGTATTTTGCTAGGAGGGTTTGGCCAAGTATTTCTTTCACTTTTTTGACTTTTTAAATGTGGTTTTCTTAGTCCTTTATGTTGTTAATGATAAATTAACAGTGTTTTCCATTCATTATTCATTACTGCAGATTAATTACACAGTTGAACGTTAACAATCGCAGTGTGAAATAAAGTTTTACTGGCGACCGTTATCCGCCAATATTCAGTAAAATATGCGATCAGGATATCTGGATTAATGCTTTCTGTTCGGCAATCCCTGATATTAGATTGTAAACAACCAATTCGTGTTAAGATTTACAGGAGACGAGCTAGTAACGGTGGCAGCACCGCTAACGGCTAATGAATGAAGGTTCGTTCAGTTACATTATGATGGGTTCAGGCTCCGTTTAGTGAAAATGACTGTTACTAGCTCTCCTGTCAATGTTCAACACAGATAAGTTGTTTACAATGTACGTTTTTATCAGGTATAGGCAAACACAAAGCATGAATCCAGATGTACTGATCGCATATTTTTACTGAATATTGGCGGATAACGAGCACTAGGAAAACTTTACTTCACACTGTGATAGTTAACGTTAAATTGTGAAATGAATCTGCAGTTCACGCCCAAACTGCAAGGTGGAATCCAGCCGGATCACGGATTGACAATGGTCCGTTAGACCACTATTTACAATTTACAGGGTCCAAGGTCCACCCACCAGAGTCTCACAAAATCCTGTGGGAAGCACTAAACAATCTATCGATTTTGCCACCTTGGCCTACTATAGTGTTTTCTGTATTTATGTTTAAAAGATGAATCAAGAAAAGATCAGCAGATCAATCAATAATGAAAATAGTTGTTTGTTGCAGCCCTGGTGCTAACCTCGTCTTAACCCTGAATTACCTTTATACTCGTACGACTACGTACCAGCTGAGTCACAACAGATGGTCGTCCCCAGTCGGTTTCATGCTGAATATTGTGGTGCTCACCTCAGCCTGACCCTGTGAGTGTAGTTTGGAGAGGATTAAGAATAATATTTCTGTTTGGCATCATTGGTATTGAAGGTAAATAGCACATAGTGTTGTATGTAACAACGCGAAAGGCTGGTGTTGAGTACCAGTTAATGCCCATTGACAGAAGGTCATGGGATTACTTTCTTCGCTGTATTGTTCTTTATTATCTGTCTTTTAACTGTGCTGCTGACAACACTTGTCGCCTCTGAACATTGATCTTTGCTGCATCCATTCTCAGCTCTCCCCAGCTGTGGCCTACTTTCCACGCTGCTCATGTGCTGCTGTACGTCTGTGTGTGTGCGCTTTATAATTCCAACCAGAAAACGGCCTCTGGGACACATCCAGTGCTTTGTGAGGGCTGCCTGCAAAGTTCACAACGTCTTAAAACTGTGATGAAAGGCCTCCGTGTCTCTTCATTTACATCTGTTTCTAAAATGTGATTGATATAGCTTTCATTAAAGATGCAAAAGATTATAAACTAGAGTTGACAATGCAGTCTATAGGGTTAGATAACTGAAGATCATAATCTCTGTCAGACACTGTTGTGACCAGAGTTTGATAAATAAAGGAATGATTTTCAATGCCAGTCGTCCAAATCATCATCAAAAAGCTCTGCTGCAATTTTTCTCGAATGAAAAAATGTGTCCTTGTTCCCCCTGCCAAGATAAATAAGAGCTCAAAAGTGAAAATGATATGCGCAGATTCCATAGATACCCCTCAACATAAATCTGTCTGACTTGTTGGTAAGGACACAGAAGGTGGTGTGCTGAAGCTTATGCACTTGATATTTTGACCGACGCAGGTCTTCAGCACCTTCTCCAATGAGGAATACGATCGGCGTAATGACGACGTGGATCCAGTCGCAGCCTCCGCAGAGTATGAGCTGGAAAAGAGAGTGGAGAAGATGGACGTGTTCCCTGTGGAAATTGAGAAAGGTGAGTTCAGTCAACACTACGTACGATAAGCAAAGAGTGAGCAGTTCTTCTCTTACGCACCTTTTAAAAATCTTCATAATGTTACTGCCTTCAGGAGACAATGGACTTGGCATCAGTATCATTGGAATGGGAGTGGGAGCTGACCAGGGTCTGGAGAAGCTAGGAATTTTTGTGAAAACCATAACTGAGGGGGGAGCAGCTGAGAACGATGGACGGTGAGTTAGAGCACTGTTGCCTCCTTTTTGTACAATCCCACATTTAAGCCTTGTTACGGTGTCACCGGTAGTGGTTTGTATAGAACCGTAAACATGGTACACACTCGCTGTACACTGCACCACCACAACGGTTGTTAACATCACACTCTAGGAATTGCTCATTCCCCCAGGGCCCAGTGACACACGAGACACAAACAATCCGTTTTATTTATAACCACACGAGGAAGCTAAAGAAAACAGTTGCTACTTCTGTTTCCCATGCATGTTTCGATTTGTCTTATTTCCAGCTGCATTGACTCTACTGCATTTTTTTCATCTGTACTACTACGCTGAAGGTGGTGCATATAACTCTCCTTATAACGATGATCATCTGTGTCTCTAGCATACAGGTGAATGACCAGATAGTGGAGGTGGACGGCGTCAGTCTTGTGGGCGTCACCCAACTGTTTGCTGCAACAGTCCTGAAGAACACCAAAGGCACAGTGAGGTCAGTTCAAAGCCCGTCTCCTCGACCCCATTGATTACCAGACTGAGCCACTGTTATCATAATTAGCGAAAAGTGGTGAAGAGTCTTTTTATCTCTTGAGAGTCCAGAGGCCATGAATGATTGTTTGTGTATTTCGACAACACAAGGTATTGTGGCATGTTAATGATTTGAAATGAAACACCCTCACATGACAGGGTCAGACCTAAATTGCATCTCAAAATTAGCATTTCCCCATTGCAAGGAAGACGGTAAGTTACAGTAAGCTATTTACAGCCAACATGTAAAATATTCCATTTCACGGCACGCTAACGCATCGCGCTCTGAAAAACAGGTTCTCAATTGGACGGGAGAAGCCGGGGGCCCAAAGCGAGGTGGCCCGCCTCATCAGCGAGACACTAGAGCAGGAGAAGAACCAGCAGCAGGAGCAGCAACATCCGGATGACCTCTATGAACACTCTACGGAGGAGGTGAGTGAGCTGTCACTGCTCCACCATGTAGACTACAAGGACGCCTAACAGCTATACAGCTATTATGATGTTTAGATATGGAAATTAATGAATTATGTTCCTATTCTAACCAGTTGTTACCCAAAATAACTACATAAAGGCTCTTAAACCAGGTGAAAAATGTGCAACTCAACTGTACACTACTTTCTGTATACTTCTACTACATTGTAGTACTACTTTTACCTGACAAATTCAAACATAATACTTTATTATTCATTAAACTACCCAGTATTATTGTGCCGATAATGCCTCTTTCACTCTATACTTTAAGTAAACATTTGAATACAGGACTTTCACTGTGTGGTATTAATAGTTAATACATTTTTGAGTAGCCTTCTTCTTCAACCACTAAGTTTATTCTGTCAAAGTGTATTAATATTTAACTTGTCGAGTGTCCAAATTACACCAAATTCAACAAAGCGCTCCCTTTGGTCCCCGGCACTACACTGTGTGTAGTAGATTGGACGAGCGGTTTTGGAGATATGTGAAGGACACACACACACACACGCACGCACAGAAAGAGATTCCTTGCTTCACAGTTGAAAAACATAACATCCGTTAATTTCTGGTTTAATTAATGGTTTAATGTGAGCTTTCCATATTTGTGTGGTTTTCAGGAGCTTCTCTGTCATTATGTGCACGGTTGGTTTTATCGGAGCTTCCAGAAAAATCCCAGTTTCCCACTCATAAATATGACTTGGGTGTTGATGTGTTTGCTATTTATAAGTTTAACAGTCATAATTAATGTCGCTCTGACATAAACACGGCATTAGCCCCCCGAGCCACACCTGCTCCAATCCCACCCAGCTCAACCAGGAAATGAAACGCTGGCTGTGAGTCAATCCGTGCGTCACCGTTCTGCTGTGTTGGAAGGTGCAGTCGGCCTCTTGACTGTCTGGCAGAGTTGTGAAATGTTTGTTTTCTGATGTTTTTGGAGCCGGTCTCCTGTTTCACTAGAGAGACGCTGGGCAGAGAATGTATGAGGGATTGACAAAGACAGAAAGGGAATGTTGCATAACTTTCAGTGGCAGTGGACACAGTTTCCAAGTGACTCTGTGGTTATGCAAAGTGTGTGTAGGTGTGTTAAGTCTTGTTATCCAATGAGAACATTGTTCATGTGTATGTATTCGACGCTGCGAACGAGCTACAGGCGTGTAGCCAAACTGCCTCCCGTGAAGCGACTCTCCGACATCTGGTTGTGAAGTATTGCTTACAACGTTCCCTCCAGTCTGTGGTGACCTGTGCCTCTGGGAGTGTTGTTGACGCACGCTGGGCATGTTCAGGGGCATGCAGGGTGTGTCGATGTTTGCAATGTATGATGCCATGTGTGACGTCATATTTCAGGAGGAGCGCTATGAGGAGGAGGACGGGGTCGAAGAGAGGATTCTGTGCTCCAATTTCTCCCCCGGGCAGAACGCGGAGCTGTTTGAGCCGCCTGATACAGAGGCTCTGTTTATGCCGACCAACATGGACAGCTCTCAGATGGTTTTCAAGTTTAAAGAGGTACCCCCCCCCCTCCCCTCACCATTACTCTCTGTCTCATGTGATACACAATATATATATCAGACGTTTCAGTATTCTGTGTTGACAACCAAAGGTTAACATACAGCGACGGGCGTAACCAAATCTTTTATTTTCCTATTTTTGTTCCTTAGCTGCAGCATAAACACAGCACTGCTGCAGCAGAAATAAATCAACTGAAGGAAAAGGTACAACTTTCTTATTCTTTAAGTTATTCAAGATATCCACATAACATACAAGATATATAACTATATGATACAGTAAATACAAATACCATGTACCATGATATACAACCAAAACAGACAATAGACTTTGATGAACTTTATATTAGCTGAAGTTTCCTCCATCAGTAATTATACTGTGTGTGTGTGTGTGTGTGTGTGTATATATATATATATATATGTATATATGTATGTATGTATGTATGTATGTATGTATGTATATATATATATATATATATATA